TTTCTGGGGGCCGCCCAATCCTTTTTTTTTTTTTTTTTTTTAGGTTTTGGACCAACATCTAAAAAGCCACTGTGTGTTGTAGGATGCAGTTTGAATCAAGTGTTTAGAAGGTCCTCATAATACTCGGAACAGTTTCATTCTGATACACATATATGAATATAGTTTTATATGCACCGGTAATGGCATGTCTACAGAGATCCAGTTATAAGCGGCGTCTATCTCTGGTCGCCATGTCTGAGAACAGGATGTGGCAGCTCTCTGATTAGCAATACTAAACAAAATTGTAAGCAATCCTGACAATTGGGGGCAGTCTATGTCCTGCTGCAAGAATTGTTGGACATAGTAATTGAGGTTAAATACCATTCTAGCTCTGCTGGAGGTCCAAAGTACTTATAAAGCAGGGGTAGGCAACATTGGCACTCCAGCTGTGGTGAAGCTACAACTCCAATCTCACCTCTGCCTCTAGGAGTCCTCCTTGTGGCTTTTTAGTTTTGCAATGCCTCTTGGACCTTGTAGTTCCTAGCTTGCCTACCCCTGTTCTGGTGGCTAGAGCTCCAAGAGCAGGATGTTGATGCTTGTGTGTGTGTGTTTTGTGTAGGGGAGGGGAAGAGAAGAGCAGGCATGAGCTGATTGCTGGAGGGAGAGTAGACAGGCACTACTGTTTTGGAGACAAGATGGTATTGATGTAAAAAAAAAAAAAAGGTAAAAACAGCATTCTGAAGTTTGTTTGCCTAATTATAGAACATACTATTTGAGTGGCCTAGGGGATGAGTGACATTTCATTCGATTCCATGGGCTCAGCGTGGTGCCAGGCGGTTGTACTGTGTCGCATCCTGCTGTTCTAAAAAAAGTGCTGCATGCCATACTTTTTTCAGCGCACACTATTGCTTTCCAGTGCATCTAAGTGGTGTCATGTGCCAATCCATGACAAGGCAAATATTTCCCCTTTCTTGCATTGCGTCTGTGCTGGAAAAAACGGCAAATGCAGCCTCAACGCATCTGGTGGGAATCCACCCTCAAACTCATCTGGAAGAAGTAAAAAAATATGTGCACACTTGCTCCCGTTCAGGAATGTTGAAGCCTGAAGATCAGCATGAGATTCGGCCATAATTTTCAAAGGGGGGGGGGGACTATAAATTGGAAACCTGGTTTTTCTCATACGGATTTCTTTTAAATTAACTCTTATTTTTGAGGCCTCCCTCCATTAGACTTATTCAGTTGTACAGTATCTACAACTAGAGCTGCAACAGTTAATCGATTAAGTCGATTAAAATCGACGATCGAAAACGTCGACGTTTTCGCTCGTCGATTCGTCGGCTATTGATTGAATAGCCTGTTCGGGGCTCCACACACGGCCTGAGCCGCACGTACGTCACACGCTGCGCCCGCGCGCCCAGGACGCTAACATCACCCAGGGAACGGCAATATCTGGTTGTTGTACAGGGGCAATGAGGGCATGCTGGGACTTGTAGTTCCCTAGCTGATATGTTATGAAGCTGTGTTATTTACTGTACACCTGAAAGTACTACAATGCCATAATAGAACATTTAAGTTTATCTATGTTTTATTCTACGTTCTATAATGGCATTGTATTTTTATTTTTTTTTAAACTTTTTTAAAAAGTTTATTTATTTTGATTCATTTTTTGTCAAATATTTTTATTTAATACTTTACTTTTAGGGGCTTCAGGGAAATATTGGGGGTCTAAACAGACCCCTGACATTTCCCTTTTTAAAATAGAAAAAGAGATTGAGAACACAAAGTCCTCAATCTTTTTTTCTGCATCCCCTGTTATCAATGAACAGGAATCCTCTATACTGAGTGTCCCTGTTCATTCATAAGATGAGTACATTGTTTACTATAACTACAACTATGAATGAACAGGAAGTGATGTAGATCACTCCCAATTATTCATAATTAGGGATACAGTACACATTGTCCTCAATTATCTACAAACACTCAGCGATCACTGATCACTGAGTGTTTGCACTTGCTCTCCTCTGACACGCTGTCACAGGAGGCTGAGCGAGCAGTGCGGGAGGAGAGCTCCGCCGCCTGTAACAGCACGGCCTGTCTCCACCCCCACACCGCTCTGCCGGACTGTGATAGGCGGCTGAGCGGTCTGGGAGGAGAGACACCGGCCGCTCACAGCGCTCTCCTCACGCAGGCTGTCACTTTCTCTCTGTGTCCCAGCGGGGAGGAAAAAAAGCAGGGATGCACCGCACCGATGTATCTGCAGGAAAATTACACTTTCAGCATTTAGCCAAAAGTGCCATTTTCGTTCCGCGCGATGTATAATGTATTATTGCTGGGATTTGTAGTTCCTCTATAACTGGTCAGTGGTATTCTGCATTGCGCCGTATAATCATTATAGGGCGCAATGGAGAATACCACCAGCTATAGAGGACTACAAATCCCAGCAATAATAAATTGTACAGCACAATGCAGAATAACGCCAGCTACAGAGGACTACAAATCCCAGCAATAGTACACTATAGTGTACTATTGCTGCGATTTGTCGTATTCCTCTAAAGCGTCTGGTATTTTGCATTGCGCCGCTGTATAATATACTATATTCCACACCACACTTTTTTTTTAACTTCCACCGCTCTAAGCTTGCTCCCGTGATGGCCTACAATCTCAATACAAACTAGTAGTCCATCACTGGAGCCTTTTTTTTTTTTTTTTTTTTAAAGTTTTGTTTAAAGTGTACATAAACGTCTCTTATGTGGTTGTTACATTTACCATTTTTAAATCTTTTTTCAATAAGTGCCGAAAAATACCACTTGATTCCTGCCAGAAATATTGTGAGCTGATAAATACCTGTGCCCTCTGCTGATGGATATCATTTGGCATTGTCCTCTGTTCTCTGTGGATTACAGAACATCTTCTCCCTGTGTCATGGAGAAGATTTGAGAGGGAAGTGTTCTGAAGTCCTCATTGACTTCCTGTCCTAGGATATCCATTCTTCTTCTCCTCCTCTGATACAGTGCAGTAAGTGAGCGTTGTCACCCTAGGACAGGAGGTATTACTAGCAGGATCACTAGGTGAAAATAAAAAACCTGAGATAAAGAAAACTAATGCAGCTACTACATATGAGGACTGGTAAGCAGCATTGCATTCTTGTTCGTGGGTACAGGTTTGTGTTAGGATTTCCATCAGCCATGCACGCTAACATTGAATAATTCAAAATTGTTCAATCAAATCTATTGTTTTTCAAGAGGTCGGGAGTGACACATCCCACCATACAGCAGCGAATAGCCTACCTGTACAAATCAAATGACAGGCTGGCTGAAGTTATGACTGTGCGGTTACATCTACAAAGGACAGTATAAGCTTTGTACCATAGACGTATCCCCGAATGCATACTACCAATCCATAATCAAGCTATATGTGACTGGATGTGCGCTGTACAGCCATCTTATGGCCGTGTGCAAGAAGCCAGTAGAACTATGGCAGCACTTAAATATGTGGTTCTGTATGTAATAGTTTCCCCCCCTTGCAAAATCCCACATATACCTGTTGAGCCTGCAAGAAAAGTCCACCTAATTCATCTTCCTGTATATGTGTGGCAACAATGCCGCACAGCTCCTGAAGTTAGAGCAGAGTTGCCACTCTCATGTAAGCTGTGCCTGCTTGCCCTGCAGTGGGATACTAAATGTTACAGGGGGTATGTCTTTCAGCATTGTCCCTGCTGATTCACAACCCTGTACCTTGTCAGCATCTGACAACACCTAGTCCTGTCGCTCAAACCCTTCCAATGTGTTCTGCTGTGTTTGGATAAGGAGTGCATGAAATGCAAAGGAAAGGGGATTGGCTCAAGAAAGGGAAAGAAATTATTTTGTTTGATACTTGGGCAGCACATAGTAAGTGGATTTGGTACTTGTATAGCCTGTCATACGGGATCCTTTAGTTGTACTTTAAGTAAAAAATCCCCATAAGAAGAAAAAAAAAAGAAGCAAAGTCTGGTTTTGAACTTTCAATAGACACGGTGGTGCTCTGGAAATTCAGCACCCATTGACCATCTAGATTTCTCATCGTTTCAGCTTTGCCCATCAATGTTTTGGTGCCCTGTGACTGAGGTACTCTTTCTACTGTAGCTGCATGCAAATAATCTGAACTAGAAAAAATACAGATATGAGCTTGTCTGCAGTAATTAAGCCTTTGTTTACTAATGACTCATACAAATGTAATATGTGCGAGTTTAAATATGTGCTATTTGGGAAAGCATTTGCAGAGTTGTTTAAAAATGCAGTGTCAGTAGTGACACACCCTTCTGTTTCAGTTCCATTCCGCTCCCTACAAGACTTTGTCACGTCTCAATTGTATTTGCCTTGCAGCTAAATTTACTTCTGCATTCAATACATAACAGGGCATAATTCAAATGCCTACTTTATGTTTGCCATAAACTTCAGAATACATCTAGCCAAACAGAAAAGCTAGTTTTTTGTTTTCTGCTGTGATTTTTATTTCATTTTATTTTTTTACCTGCCTTAGCGCTACCAAAGAGTAGAAAATACAATCAATACTGCTAACAGTGTGTAAACAATACACCTTCATTCAGATTGGTCTACTATAGCTTCTAGTGTACGGTCCTCTAATTATTACCGTGCATGTTGTAGGGGACTCCATCTTGCAACCTTTATTTTTTAGTTTATATATTAAAGTGTATGTGCAGAAACTCATTACCAATGTAATTTTTCTTGAGTTTGTAGTTTTAACATGTAGTTTTAAAACACGGTATAGGCTTTTTAATCTTTTTAAGTTATTAGGTTGTTACTAAAAGCCATAGTTTTGAGTGTAAAAGGTCTTTTTTGTTTTGCTTTTCCGTTTTTCAGGTCATCCCAGCCAGAGGGAAATCGTCATTCACAGTTGTTTTCCTGCCAGATGAAGAAGGAAGCTTTGAAGGCTCTTTATTTATAAATACTACTACAAATGGCATTCTGTCCTATCAGGTGAGCCAAGTCTTCTGATGTGAGCCAAATTTTTGTTTTCAAGGTCCTTGAAAACCATACTTCTTTTGATGTGTTCACAAAGGACTGAGACAGCTGTTTTTGTTTTTAAATAAATACGGTTGTTAATTTGATATGCCCATATGCTTTTAGCTTTTTTTGGGGGTGTAAAAACGGCTAAGGTTGCCCATAGATAGGAGGGCAGCAATGCAGGCATGTTATGACCATCCTTTTAAAATACAGAAGTGATCTTAATCTAATGCGCTTGTTGACAGCAATGTCCGTTACCAAAAAATTCAAAGGATTGGCTATTGTGCATGGAACTTTTCCATTTTGATGGAAATATTTTTCGGAGTGGTGTCCATATGATCCATTGTAAGCAGCAGTCAAGTATCATGGTGGGGTCAAGTGATGCATTCAAAGACTAGCACATTTCTGCCAGCCCCTCTTTCACTACGATATGTATGCTGATTTAGAGGCAGCTAGCTTAAATATAAGGGCCAGGTGACTAAAGCTGAACTTTAGATACTCTACACTCCCTAAACGTTTTATTAAATGTTGTCAAAGTTTATCTAAATAGCATTATTCTGTTATAGGTCTTTGGTCAGGGTGTACTTTCTGCTGCCTCTGATGACTCCATGCACTCTCTTCAAAACACAGAGGTCCTGTTTCCACGGATTGCAAATATCCATCTTTCACAATCGCAGGTATGCATTCTCCTGATTTAGTTGACTTAGAAGTTTGCTAAAGGGCATCTCCACTCTTACCTTCATTTTCATTATTCTGGTACTGTATTTTTCAAGGTGAGATTTGTGAACATCCTCCTACCTGTCAATATTGTGCATTCTTAGTAGGAGACCATGTTGAGCACACAAATTGCCACTTCCTTTGCTTTTGAACCTCATGTAATGTATTTTAAACATTAACGTTGCCATGTCTTGGTTAAAAGACCTTAGGACTCTTTGAAATGACTTGTTTATAGCCTTACCTATTCACACCAATGGTAAATTTGAAAAATATATTATTACATTACGCTGGTTCACTTCAGTTCACTGAGAAGCAGGTGCATGAGGTACAGAAATGTGTTTGGCTTATAGTGAGGTTAGAGGTCCTGTTTTCTAAAAATATTAGTCTTTGCCCAGAGAATGGCAGATAAGTGTTGCAAGCAGTCAGTAACACTTATGTCAGTTTGTGATTGTATACTGTTTTACTACAATGTAATACCTTTGTATCATTCAGTAAAAAGCTGACTATATTGCTTTATCACTTCCCATGTAGGCAGAAGCCATAAACTCCAGTGTATGGCAGGTTCGTTTGAAGTGCATTGTTCCCTTTCGACAGCATCAACATTGCAGGGTATGTGACATCCACCCAGTGGACATTTTTTTGTTCATGCTTTTGCTTGTCTTCTCACCTCTGGGCATTTTCTTCTGTGATATGCAGAACTGCTTCCTGTCTGGGCACTCACTGCTGCTGCAGGTCTACTTTGCTGTCAGGCTGGATGGAGGCCAACATGACTTGGAGACCCTCAGGAAATACATATTGGAGAATATCTTTATGATCTTTGTAACATCTGAGCAAAATGGTGAGGCATTGGGCTATCGGCTTATTTCTTAGCCTGTTAAAGGGTAACTTGCTAAAAGTGAACTTTCATTTATAAGAACTGTTGTGTTAAGTTATCCATCAATTTTGTAGTTGTGAGGCTTGAAAGCTGTCGCATGTATAGCACTGTAAATAAAAAATCTGTGAGGGTACTTTAGAAATTAATGAATATGATAGTTTTTTTTTTATCAATTAACATCTTGCGAAGTGCATAAACAGAAAAAAACCTAAATCAAATCATTATTTAGTGTGGCCGCCCTTTGCATTTAAACCAGCATCGTTTCACGTAGGTACACTTGCATGCATGTTTTTTTGTTTTTTTTTAAACAAACTTGGCAGGTAAGTTGTTCCAAACATATAAGAGAACTAAGCACAGTTCATCTCTGGATTCAGTAATCCCAGATAGACTCAATGTTGAGATTTATAGCTTTGTGAGGACTATACCCTCTTTTCTAGAACTCCTTGTTCTTCTTTTGGCTGAAGATGGTTCTTTATGACTTTGGTTGGGGTCACTATGTGTTTGGGGTCATTGTTCACTGCAGAGAACAATGCAGAATGAATTTGAGACCAATCAGATGCCTTCCTGATGGTATTTCTCTGCACAGTGCTTCTTGTGTTTTCATGTACAGGCAAGTTGCTTGGCCTTGTTTCCATGTTGGAGTTATGGCTTTTTAGCCACAAGTCTTCTATGAAGATCTCTTCTGACCAGTCTTCCCTGGACTTAGGTGGGTATTCCAGGGTTCCAATAGTTTGTTAAAGTCTGAAAAGATTATGCCACCGGACATTTTCTGAATGGAAAGTGAAGTCGGCCTGAGGTGTATTGACTCACCACTGCGTTTCCAGTCTTCAGCGTTGCTGGTTACTTTGTGCTTCTGCAGAAGAACTTGAAAAGCACATCTGGCATTGACCGTCTTCCTTGAATTTTTGTCAGAGAGACCTGCAGTAATACCGCACTGTGTCTTGTGACTCTGCTCTATATTATAGTTGTCTAAGATCTTTTTTTTTTTTTTACATTGAAATGTATTTAGTTACCCCAACTTATTAGTAGAGCATAGCTTTTCGTGACCCTGCTGCATTTCTCCTACACAATGATTCTGTTTAATATAATGACTATTTTACCTACATGTTATCTTGTTGATCATTAGCACCTGTTTGGTATAAGAGCCCAGTCACACTTTAGCATTCTGTTCATTGCATGTTTTGTACACGCACTACTTTTTTCACTGCACCTAATATTGCAATACCACGTCTTTTGCTGCAGTGGGTGGCAGCTTGGAGGTGCGTTAGGGTGCCTGTCAAATGGCAGCGCGTGTGAAAGGGCGCTTTAGGATCTTGCTGACATAAGGTCCAGCGCATGATTAAACATTAACTGTGTGCCTCAGGAAATTGATGCAGTTTTAAAGGCAAAGGGTAAACAAACCAAATACTGATTTTAATATGGGATTTATTTCAGATAATGCACTTGGTAGGTTGTTAATTGATAAAATCTGTACCTTTTTTTTTTTTTTTTCTTTTACAGCAATTATTGTGCCTAAAACCTTTGCACGGTACTGTATGTTCAGGTACCTCTGTGTTTTTTTGCACTTTATACCTGGTAGCAGCTTGTTTCCTTTGTGGTGACAGTTTTAAATTTTGGAATCTCATCACCAGCATCCTTGAGAAATAAAATGAAACATGTCACCAGCATCTACCACAAATCATTAGAATACCTTCATTAAAAATAGGGATGTCCCGATACCACTTTTTCAAAACCAAGTACAAGTACTTCCCCTCATGTACTTGCTGATACCAATTACCGATACTTTTTCTTAAAGGGACAGGTGACTTTAAATGATCCATAGTACAACTACATGTTCTGTACTATGGATCATGATTTAACCTATTCATGTTAGCAGGGGAGAATTGTAAATCTATTGCTGGAGTGTAGTTGAGGGGTGTGCTGTATATATGTACTACATAGACAGACATTACACACGTCCAGTACACTATAGCAATAGATTTCCAGCCACGTCCCAGCTTCCCTCACTCAGTTTCACTCCGATCCCTGTTGCCTCACGAGCTGCCTCTTGTAGTCGGCGCTGGGCAGGATCGCTGCATTGCGTCTTGGTGCTCAGCTTGTGGGAGGCACTCACAATTCTGCCCTGCTAATATGAATAGGTTAAATCATGATCCATAGTACATATACAGCACACATGTCCCGTACACTGCAGTAATAGTTACAATTATCCCCTACTAATATGGATAGGTTTAAATTATCCATAATATGTAGCCCTGTACTATGGATTGTGAATCTATTGCTGCAGGGAATTGGGAATATGTACTGTACATGTACTACATATAGAATGCACTGCAGCAATAGATTCACAATTATGCACTGCTAACATGAATGGGTTAAATGATCCGTAGTACAGGTCTTCATATTATGGATAATTTCACCTATTCATATTAGCGGTGGAGAATTGTAAAGAGATGACCAAAATATGATGCATGTTTTTTCCACTGAAGCCTATAGGGCAGAGACCATTCTATTCTGCCCCAAAGGAGCCCCTGGACTTCTTTGGTGCAGTATATCACTTTTATGTGAACATGGCACCCCAGAATAAAATGGAAATAATCAAGTGTGATCATGCTTCTGCAAATGTGCAACAAGTCCCTCAGTCGTCAACAGTCTCTTCGCCTGCGGGCTAGTGTGAACGCGTCCTACAGCAATGCATGTACATGAATGCAACGCACCCAAGGAAAGAAAGTGAAAGTTTCCCAGAAGGAGAAGCTTAGCTGCAGAAGCAATGGAAGCACCGGAGGGTCTGCAGAGTCTGGCATAAACCAGACATAATAAGCGTTAGGGAACAAGAACAACAATAAACGAGTCACTGAGCCCCGGTATACCGAGCCGTTCATCCTAATCAGACATTACTACAGCAAAATGACGTTTACACAGCAACAGCTCCAGACCACAGCAACATACTAGGAGCAGTGAATACAAACCGCAGCAGCGAGCACCTCACTTCCGTCTCCCGTATTGAATGACTGAGATAGCGCCTCCTTGCGGCACCTGCATAGAACAACTACGCATGTTGTTGTTGGTGGGCGACTGCCCAGCCACCTAAATTAGGACCCCCACCTGGAGCACCGCCCACCGGAGCAGCAGTGACGTGACGCTCGGCGCCGCAAGGCAAGTAAAAAAAAAAGCGCAGGCTTCGGCACTATGTATCGGGGACATTTTGACAAGTTCAAGTACTTGTCAAAATGCCATGTATCGGTCCCGATACCGATGCTAGTACCGGTATCGGGACATCCCTAATTTAAAAATATCAGTTTAGTTGGGCTAACTTAAATTATTAGAATTTTGCTTTATGTGGATCTCTGACACAGTGAAAATAGCAACATGTGCATTTTATGTCAAATGACATTGTCATTCAATCTTTTATACAGATGATTCAATGGCTATGTATGTATTGAACTCTGGGAATGGCCTGGTTCATATGCAGGTAATTGCATTTCATTTTCTATATCTAGTTTTTTCATTTCAGTTATTTTTTGTTGTCTTTTTGCTGCTTTTTTCTTTTGTCCTAACAGGGTGATTTCCATTCATTTCCTGGCCAAAAGATGCAACAGGAAATTAGGGGAAATCTCCTTTGAAAGATTTCCCCTCACCTCTTGTTCTCGGAACAACTTCAGATTTTTTGATTTCCTCTCGCTTTCGTCCTCTGTAACAATGTCACGAGTACAAATAAAGGGTTGAACTTCCCCAGTGGGAGTGCAGACTGATATAATAAGTAAAAAGTTAAAGGGTCTAATAATTTTTCTGTCCAAAAGCTTCATTTTCAGGGATGGGCAGGCCTATTTTTTTTTTTTTCTTATATCCCACAACATAACAGGATATCCACCCACATAGAAACTTGAATTCCTTCTATAATGTAGTTCCATTAACCACTTATTCATGTAATGGCAAGTTTTTTTTTTATGCTCCTACATCTGAAAATCTATGTATTTGTATACACAGGTTTCCTTTTCTATATTTCTCTTTGTTTTTGCATGACAAAACAGTCATAAAGCACAAAAATGCACACAAAACATTCTACTGTGCTTTAAAAATGTCAAACACAATAAACAAATGTTTGGTAACAATAATTGTAGTTTGTACAATATAAGTACACCTGGGATTGTAGAAGGTGGGCTAAGGATGAGGTTAAGGGTTGGGATTTGTTTAAAGGAAACGTATTAGGGAAATACAGAGGCTTCCAGTGCTGACCTCATAATTGCCTGCTGACTGCTTGCCCCACTGGTTATAATAATGAGTCACTGACTGACAGTAAAGTCAGAAATTCCTATCCACATTCTTATGGTAGGGGTTAGGTTAAGTTATGACGGAGTTGGTGTCGGAACATTTTGGGGAGCAATTTTCGGCACCGTAAGCAGCATTCTTGTTCGGCAGTTACAGAATGAATAACTCAGTTGCTAATATCTGAAAGACACATTCAGCTCGTGTTAACTATTAGTTTGTCTTAGACCAGCCTAAATATCATCTGCAAAGGATCACTGGGGTTTGCTTTTAAACACACGAAGGGCACATAAAACAATGGCCACCAACAGCGGCTTTTACAAGTAAGTCTTAGTTACTAGTGAGTTTTATTCTTTTTTCCAATTGAGAATGCCACGGGATTGATTTAGATCCCGTCAGGTTGAACAGAACAAAGATCACCTCCAAGAATATCTTGTAGTGAATATCGCCCAGAGATAAAAATAGTCAGTGGGTGATTTAAGGTGGCCAGTAGCCACTTACAATTGAAGTACCAATATTGTTTTGGCCTGCCCTTTAAATGGTATCAGAGTTCTAGACCTTATATTCTGTTAACATGTTTAGAACTGTCATTGTGTATGCACAAAACCCATACTGTATTCTTTCTCTACAGGATGTCCATCATTTTTTAGGTGATACACTTTCTGTCCAGTTTGAGCCCGTGATGCTTTTAAGCTCTTCAATAAATTTTACGAAAGCAGCCACCATCGTTTGCTCAGGTATTACAACGTGTTTTTAAGTTTTCCTTTTGAAGTTTTTAACTGCAACTCAACAGGCAGCCAGCTACTAGCTAGTTCAAATACATAAGTTTTTATAACGTTTTACCCATCAAGGCATTTGTAATATTGGTCGGCAAGTCTTGCTATACTCATATCTCTGCTGGTCAGAATATAACTGACAGTTAAGGTTTATAGTTACTGTTAATAGATCAACATTACAGCTTCCAGGACCCTTTTTTCTATTGGACAAAGGTGACGAGGCAGTTTTTGTGTGTAGTTATCGTGCTAAAGGAGAGGAGGTGACAAAGAAAACCTGACCTGTTGAATATGTAAATAAGTGGGTCTGTGTGGCTATGCATTGTGCAAGAGGCATGTAAACCAAATCATGGATGAACAAGGTTTACAAAACTGTGAACGTATAGTCATTTGACTATGTGGGTTAACCATTTGCCTAAAATTTTACTTTAATATATTTAAAAAAAAACTCCAGCTGTCAACATAAAAAAAAAAGTAACCAGTTACCTTGCATGGGCCCCCTCTGGGTCCAAAAGTCGCACTGGTTTCCCTGCTACTCAAAGCCATGGTCAAGGCACCGGCAGTGATCAATACCTCCTGGTTCTCTTCACATTAAAACTGGAAATAGCTGGGAATCAGCAGGCCTCTCAAACCCATATGGGTATTTGGGTGCTCTTTATAGCTTTAAAGAACAATACTTGGGGATCAAGCTGAATGTGCCTCTCAAGCTACATTGTTTTTATCCCCCTCAAGTTTATGTAGCATTTCAATATTTGTCAGCATGGAATGCATTCATCTTCTACATTAACATGTATTTTATTCCTCTGTAGGGCAGCAAACAACCCAGTTTTAAGCATGCAAAATTTGTAAAAAGAAAAAGTTTTAAGTGGTTTTTAGAAGCGTTTTGTTTTGTTTACAGGAGCCTCACAAGAGTCTAATTTTGTCTGCTCCAAAGAAAAAAAGCTGAGTGTTGTACAAGTTGCTTCCCCTCCATCTCTGTGTATTTCTCACAACATAACAGAAGGGTAAGTTTCTGTTTACTCTACAGTGTGAGTCATGAGTTATTGCTTAGTCACAACACTATGCTTCACTTCATAGCTTGGCTTCAGTACATGCATAATTTCTGTTTAGTGGTATGCTATTACAGCATTCTTGTGGTCTGATAGTAAATCCTGTAAGGGACATACTTGTTTGTAATTAAACGGAAGAATTTATTGTAGGCTCAGAAAAGTATTACTTGTACCATTGTTTTCTTACTGTCTGTCTTTATATTATGGGGCTTGCAATCACTGTTATACTTGGGCCTGGATAATATGTGCTATTCACACATACTATAAAGCATGCTGCCATAATTAACAATTTGGTCATTGTTTATGTCTTTGGTTGTTGGGGACACTCAGGCAAATTACTGCATTATACAATATAAACTTCAAATATTCGAGTTAAAGGAGAACTATGGGGTTAAGTCTTTTCCCCATAGGGTAACGGGAGGACACAAACTAGCGTCCTCCCGTCACCCTAGGCTCAGTATACCGCAAGCAGCTGCTCGCGGTATACTGAGACGCGGCAGCTGAACCGGATCCCGACAATTGTGCCGGGATCCGCCCAGCTGTGTGACAGCTGGCTCTGCCTATCTAAAGGCAGAGCCAGCTGTACCCGCCCCCTCCCCTTCCGTTCCGCCAGTCAGCGCTGGCGGAGCGGGGAGGGAGGAATATAGCCCCTCCCCTGTCACGACAGAGAGCCGTGACAGGATTGAGAGGTGAGCGAACGCCGGTATGTGTTTGCTCACCGCCCGATCTACTGAGCCGACCTGTGACAGTCTCATTGTCACAGGTCGGCTAGAACTATGAGGTGAATGAAAAGCACTCACCTCATAGTTCTCCTTTAATTTCAGTAGCAGGGTGTTTGCAGGTGCATGGGCAATCTATAGCAGCCAAAAAAAGTATATAGACAACCTCTAAGGCCCCATTCACACGTAGCGACATACCTTTTGCAGCGGCCGGGATAGCGCGACTTTCGGGGCGACGATCCAGTGACGATAGCGCGACCTTCTCCGTCGGGCTCCATTAGAAAAAAGCAAAATCCGCCGAAAAAAGGGTCCTGTAGAAGCGACTTGCGACTGCGACACGGAGCTAAGACAGCTCCATTGAATATCATTAGCCGGCGACTTCTCGCGATATCGCGGCGGAAATCGCTATGTCTGAATGGGGCCTAAGGGTGTAAGTGGCCTTGTATAAAAGCATGTATGCATGAAGTACTTTCATAACAATACTATAGGTGGGTATGTGTTCTTTTGTTTTACTCCAGTATAATGGCCTTTCAGGCATACAGAGTAGTGTAACACAAAAACAAACAGAGGGTGCCTCAGAGGTTCTGAAGAAGGGCGCGTGCCCCAGAAACACGTTAACCCAGGAAAGGCATGCAGTGAGATGGACCCAGTGTCGTTCTGCAGCACTCTCTTGCCATGATTGTTTTGTCCGTCTCTGGATTGTGGATGGTTTTCTGTATATTGAAGACTTTTTAGAAATACTTGATTGTGAGTACATATCTTCCTCTTATATCTGTATAATAAAGTTATCTACACTAGGGAAGGGGCCCTCGGTTTGTTTTTTCCCTAGATTTTTCGTTCTCCCTGACTGAAGAGGGGCTGCCTACCTGTGGATCGTCTCTGTATACATACATTCCAGGTGGAGGGACTTCCTTTGAGTGCTAGTGACACGTATTATCATATAGAGTAGTACACCTAAATGTTCTGGCAGCATTGGATGGAGTTAGTGCTGCTTCCATTCCAAGAAGGAAAACGATTTAAACTAGGTTTGCAGACATGTATTGACCTCAGTTATAATATACCTGACCAGGAGATCTGGATCCTGCAACAGAGCCAAATGACCTTAATAGGCTTCAAGATAGTCAGAAGCTCTGCATTGCATGGAAGAGATCTACAGGTCCTAGGTCAACAAGCTGGCTACCCCTCAATATTCCTTATTCCATGGGATATTCTGCTTTATGGAGTGAGGACCAGTTTATACTGCTTCCCCTCCCTAGTAGGGTCTGGACCCCTTAGTGTCCTTCCAAGGCACCTGTTGCTTGAATCAATGGAACTTCTGTCCTCTGTTTTTTTTTTTGGGGGGGGGGTTTGGCATCCTCCAGTGTGGAACACTTTGACAACCTTCCTTTAAAGATCAGCTTACTGGAGTTTTTTTTAGCCAAGATTCTGTTTAAGTGCCTAACTCCTGCCAACTGTGAGCGGAGGCGGCTCCACAGGTGTTTATTGGTATGTATTGGTCACCAACAAATTACTTTTTAGCAGAACTCCTTGCTGAATAAGTCTACACTTTGTTGGTATGTGGCTCTGTCAGAGAGAGGTGACTCTCTGACTTCTTGAGTCTCCCCCTTGATATTTGGAAGTTTGGATTTGAGGCATGGTATTCAGATGGGCATGAAGGACCAAGAAGTCCCTGATGAGGTGAACCCTTCCCGTCCTGCAAAGACTGGGGTTTGAATCCGGTCCCATGCAGGGCACATGCATTTGAAATCAGGTGGTCAGTCTTCATCAGTGCAGTTTTTTTAGAATCCGTGAATACAGATTCTAAAAAAAACTTAGAATCAATGACTACTGTGAGAGAGGGTTCTGTGAATTCTGGTTTTACATTGTTGCCAAGAACTCTCATCTTGACCGACCACTAGATTACAATTCCAAAACAAGAATATATAAGACCGTGCTTTTAGTATTTTTATGAGTAGCAAAAACATTGTGGCTTTTGTGCCATGGCAACACCACAAAAGACAATCAATTGCTTAAAACATAAGACATATAAAATCCCCATAAAAACAATGGCATTGTTGTTGCAATATCTCTAAGACCGTCAAGATGCTGAACGCCACAATTATTGCCACTTAGAATGATTATATGTGAAGATACAGTTCAAGTGCTCATAATTGTATGCAATTCATCACGAATGTGTTTATCATCCGATATTCTTGTGATGATCCAACCTTCAACGTGTTTTTTGCATGCTTGCTTCTTCAGGAAGGTGAAGTAAAGTATCTATGGTTCACAAATCAATATCATTGGCACACTAATGTAAAGTATCAACATTACCAATTTAACCAATTAACATGAACCACTTCATCATATCATATGGTCACAATGCATATCAAAATACCCAAAAGGATTGCCAGGACTCATGGGAGCACCTAGGTCAGCATAAGGGAAAGGGCGGGGGGGTGGGGAAGAAAGAAGGGAGCTGGACCAACATAAAGCCTAGGGATATTTTAATGTCCCCAAAATATTGCATTACATTGGTGCATACATATTTTCTTACCTGCGAGTTTGATCCCCTTTAATTGGAACCAGATACCTGCCTATAGAGGCCACTCCCTCTGCCACCAGTATGTGTTGTTACTGCAAACAGATAAAGGTATAACTAAACCTTAAATACAATATATCTATTCTGCCACACTTGTTTGCTGATGAACAAACCTTCAAGTCATTGTCCAGTTAAGTAACTCAAACTGTCACTGCTAAGTTTCGTCTAAGCAGAAAAAGAATCAAAACTTTGTTACACAAGTATTAGACATATGTGAACATTGCTTTTTAATTATAAACGTTGCATAAAGCAAATGTTTATTAAGATGTATAGAAGTGATAAACCAAATTCCTTCACAGTGGGAAGATTGTTGTGATTCTGGCAGGGCCACTGAGGTCCTAACTGCTTTTGGGCCAACCTTGGGTAAAATATTCTGGTTATTGAGGGATGTTCTCCAGTAATTTCTACGGGATTTGCTTTAGTCTTGTGGTAGAGTACATAAGACATTTTATAAAGAAACTAAACTTTGGACACTGTGCCCAAAAATAAGAAGGAAAAGGAGAGAGCTATTCATCAGTATTCCCTGTGGTCTTAGTGCAGCCGAGGTTTCCCCCATTTACTTGTTTACCATGCCTTGGCACCAATGCACACACCAGATCTCATGATTCTGCAGTTGTTTTCAATTAATGACATCATAGCACAAATATATTTCATAATCTGCTACAGTACATAAGCGTGTTAGCAGGTTTTGAATAAAAGAAAAAGAGGTGAGCAGTGTCTCAGTGCAGGAGGTCACACAAGTGCAAGAGTGATGTGCTAAAAAAAAATTCCCGGCTTTATCACATGGGTTGTGATTCCCGCCTCCATTAATATATTTATGTATAACTGCACTTTTTATACGTTCTATATATTTTCCACCATCACTAAAATAATTTTCATTATAATAGAATATCTTTTCAAAGGAAGTTCTTTCACAGGTATCTTCAGGTTCTGTTTTATTTCTGTGCTTTGTGGATGGTGCTTGTGGGAGGGCTAGATTTTTCATTTAAACCAATGCAGAGCAGGTTTCTGGTTTCCCAAGAGTGCCTGCCAGTCGTGGTTGAGAGCATAACAAAGCACAATGTGAACAGTGCCAAGCCAAAGTGGTGGAAGCAGAAATTATGTCCAGTAATGGTAATACATTTAATTTTTTTCAGAGGTAGTAGGCACCAGTGCAGTTATTCTAGAAGACAGGCAGGGAGATCACAAGCTAAAAAAATCCCTAGTGTGTCCTGTATTTACTATGTATTTTCATCTTGTTGGTATATTCTATATTCTGTTTTTATTGTGGGGGTGTTGTCTCATCAGCTGTAATTCTTTCCTCCAGGTACCTGCCTTTTGATACTTCAAAAATAAAATTTTACATGCAGCAACTTCAGGACCCTCTTGGATTATGGTCCATGTGGCTGGAAAGTAATCTAAACTTTCATATAATTCTCAGTGATGTGTTTGTGCCAGAACAAGTCAGGGGAATTTTCAAGGTATTTGATTTTTCTTTTCTTATAGTTAAACCTCCAGTTCTAGCCCAGCTCCCCAGTTTCCTATTTTTTCTACAGTAAACTCCCTGTTATCTGGCACCCATGGGAATTGGTATATGCGGTATAACTGTAGTTGTTTGAGAGTTACTATCAACTCTTCAGCAACCCCCGATCTGCTCCTCCTGCTAATGTATAGCAGGCAGTGGGTGGGTGCATTAGCTAGCCTGCTATGAGCTACTGCAATTTGAAATAGCCAGTAGCAAGCTGGTTGTTGCTCCCACCCACTAGTGGCTGTTTACATGGTGTAAACCGAATAAGAAAAATGAATTTAGTTGCTAAGAAAATTTAATGTGCACATGTCTATCGAGCAACCTGCACAAAATTTTTAGAAAATTCCTAGTTCCCTCAAAATAGAAGATCCCACCACAGAGCAAAATTATTTCAATCAAAAAATATAAAACACAATTCAATTTCTTTCGCAACATTATTTAATCTCCTATGAAAAAAACGAAATTCATCACATATAACTAACATATAAAATACTAAAATCTGGCTACCCTTTCGATGGCCATGATATGAAAACTAAAAATTGTAGCATGTTATACAGTTACCCAGCAAGGGTGGTGAAGATTCAGAGACATGATTAACAGCTAGTGTGTCTGTTATCTCGCTTTGTGTCCAGCCATATAATGGATTACTTTATAGCACTCCAGCTTTGGCAGTGTTCCTCTGATGTATAAAGTATCAGTGCGAATAATTCACAACAATATGTTGCAATTAAACAGTTCCATTGTATATCCTTCAAACAAAAAAGTGAAATCCGTTTAGATATCCACTTAAAAGGAAACCTCCCAAGACAAGAAACCTGCACAAAACCCCTCCTAATATTACTAAGGTGAAACAAGTACAAATTTTAACCCTTAAGAAGCCAAGAAACCCGAAGTGAAAGCAATGTAAACTGAAGATAGGTAGAGATATATAGCATGCAGTACCAAAGGCTCTCCTTCTTTCCCCTAAATATTGCTTTCTGGACTTATCTGGCATCCAAGGTGTATCCTGGGGTTACCCTGTCGTGTCACATACATGTTATGCCTGTTTGGTGCCATTCTTTATCTGCCCCACTTTACTTGTAAACTTAAGCTGCATTAAATGTGATGACAGAATAATGTTCAATCTTGCCAAAAGCCTTGTTTCTAGCTTTGGGAAGAGTGGGGAAGGATTCAAACTCCTGCTGGATTAACTGCTTTCTGGGGCTCACTAGAAGGACTTTTTTTTTCTTCTCTTGCTGTCAAAGGTGACAATGGTTTCACCAGACAGGATGTAAGGGGAAATCTTCACCGGGGACACAGACTGCAATTAAAAGGTGATACTAGCTTTCCCTTATTCCGTGTTGCTAATTTTCCCTCAATTTCTGTCTGGTAAAACTGTTGTCCTCTTGACAGTGAATGAGAAGAGGGGAAATTTCTCCAACAGAGTCCCAGATACCAGTAAAACCCAACAGGAGTTTAAGTCCTTCCTTAAAGTATTTGAAACTAAAATAAAAGTTTTGGCTGAACTCCACTACGTGTTGAGTGACATTTGATAGTAATGGTAACATTTTTAATGTTGATTTCAAATTTTTCTTTTTTTTTTTTCAACTTTCACATAATTAGGCAGTTCACCCCTATTGTGGTGCAACTTTTTGTTTGTTTTTTTTCTGCTGCTAACCAGATGTGTGGTTCTATGGGAAATGGAATTCTAACTTGTTCTAACATATTTCACTTCCTTCTGACACACTTGTTTTCTTTTCTCCCTACAGATACTTAATTTCACTCACTCGTTAACTTTACCTTCTGGCTGTTGGAACATATTTACATGGAAGATCCAAGCCAAAGAATTGCCACTGAATTTCTTGACCAACATAATGATTGTCACATCATTAGGTGTTACTTTTGAGATTCCTGTGCTAATCCAGTATGCAGTGAATACGGTAAGCATTTTTTTTTTTTAAAGCGTTAGTAAACCACCATCATGAAACTCAGATTAGTGGGTCCTTAGGAGGTGTTTCCCATAATGTGCTAGTATCCACAGCATATTATGGACAACTTGCCTTGCTGGTGATTCCCTCCAGCACTCATTGCTGTGCTCTTCCACCAGCCCTGCCATCTTTATCTGGTCGTCTTCCAGGTTCAGCAACTTTGGCCTCTTGATTGGTCAGGATGGTGTAACTCTCACTCATGCAAATGGGTGTTACTTCATTTCAGCACAGTACCTTGCTGAGCTTGTGTACTGAGCTGCACATGTCCACTCAGTGCACACAAAACAGTGACAGGTCGGAAGGAGTCTCTCTTCTGTCATAAAAATCCTACCTGTCAGGGTTTGTTTTACTTTACTTCCATTTGAAGTCATTGTGAATTTTGGAATTGTTCTTTTTGTTTAATACTAAAAAGTGTATGGGGAAAATATACTTAGACTTGTGTTGAGGTACACATCCTGCAATTTTGGCCTATTGTAAAATTTCTTCAAATTGTCAAAAAATTTACCAGCAGAAATTGAAATGGAGAGAATATCCGCAAATCCAGACAACTTAGATGGATTCACCACATGCTCATTTTAAAGATTTAATAAAGTTTAATAAGTCTTTTATGCAGACAACTTAGCTTGCTTTTATATATAGTGGCACACATACTGAATTTAAATATAAAAAAAAAAAAACTTTCCTTTTGATATTGGTTGAAAATTACTGCCACTTTTAAAAATTTACCATGACCAAAAGCTGGACCCTTTTAGACCTTTAGTAGGAATTCCGCAGGTTCATGCCAGGCCTGTAATAGTTATTCTCTTATACTGCTGGATACCACTGTGAATGTACTGAGTGGGTGGTTCTGAGATCAATATAGTATACTGTATAGCTGTAGTGAGTGAAAACATATTGTGAGTAAATATCTGGATGTTTTTACGTGCCTTGCATATGAGCTTTATAAATAGATTAAACAGGTTGTCATGATAACACGCTGTTAACTTGTTTCTGGTGGCAACATTTTAAAGATGATCATATGTGTGGATATGTACAGATAATCCTCTGTTCATAAGCTGGATATACACCTAATAACATTTAAAACAGGCCCCCATTTTTATTATTTTTAGAATATTTCAAATGCAAAGGCTTGGTATGTAGTACATGTTAGAAGTTTAATAATATAGATACTGTAAGTAATTGGTACTCATCGTCAAGTGTAACTCTTCCTCTTTTGCCCTTGAGCAACTCAACTTTACTTTTGTCTAAGTTGTATTAAGCAATGAGGATTTACTTGGGTTTATTACTTATTAGTTTAACCCCTTAAGGACCCTTTCGCTGCAAATACCTTTTTTTTTTCTTCGTTTTTTGCACACGTTATAATCCACATTTTAGGCCTGAACATTACTTCAAACCCCCAAACATGATATATTTCCTGAAAGCCAAGACCCTGTAGAATTAAATAGCAGCAGTTGCAAATTTGTATGTTGCGCAACTCTAGCAAACCCAGAATTTTAAAAAAAATGCACGCAAGTTAAACTTAGTGCTCCAAAACGCAATATAATACCCATTTTGTTTTGTAAAATATAAATGATGAGGTTACGACCAGTAAATAAATACCTAACATGCCCAGGTTAAAAATTGCATATGTGAAACGGCGACAAACATCAGTACCCCAAAAAGTCCATAGACTCTTTAAGGGCCCCTACAGGTCATAAATTTAGAGATGCACGTAATTATCCCTAGAATTATTGCTCTCACTCTGGCGTGTGCGGCAATACCTAACTTGTGTAGCGTGATTATCGTTTTCGTAAGTAGGCGCACCTGACACGTGTTTACATGAATACGCGCTTGTTCGCGGGGGACTTTAAACATGTTGTGTTCGCTTATTTTTTTACTTTTTTTAAAATTTATAATTACTTTTTAGAACTTTTTTTTTCTTTGTCACATGGGGGGGCTTACAATTGGTGGTGACAGGTACTCTGTAAGGTGATGCTGGGGGTTCAAAAGAGCCCTAGTATCACCTTTCCACTTTAAACAAGCAGAAGTGCAGATCGCATTTCAATAGCTTATTGCTCGGCTTCAGTAGCCCAGCAATGACTGCTTAGGGACCAGAAGTGGATGCCT